AGAGAGAGAGAGAGAGAGAGAGAGAGAGAGAGAGAGAGAGAAAGAGAGAGAGAGAAAGAGAGAGAGAGAAAGAGAGAGAGACACCCCGCACGACAACTTGATCTGTATATGTACCTGAACCCATGTTCGCCCTTGTGCAACGAAGATCTGACTTATGTGGCTTGCGAGATCTACCTGTCGGTTCGTAAAAGTATCCAAAGTATCCAAAGAATGCCTCCAAGTGTTGAGAACTGTTTTATTCTCCCTGCAAGTGTTAGATACCTCTAACCACTCTTTGCCCATGCCTCTTTGTGTGCAGGTCATTCGCGACGATGAAGTCATCCCGCGGTGCGAGGAGAACGAGCAAGGGGAGAAGTTCTGAACAAACCGGCACAGTATCCTCTCCGGGGCGGCCGGCGTCTTCCCTAGGGGTTGTGCAGCCGAGGCAACCACCGGAGTCTGACGTCTTTTTTGACGCAGGGGGAGAGGATGGGCCTCCTCATTTGGCAGAAGGAGATCAAGAAGAAGGAGAGTACGACGAAGAAGGTGTAGGAGAGGAAGAGGAAGAGGGGGAGGAAGTGGAAGAGGAACAGGCAGAGGAAGAAGCAGAAGACGAAGAAGAAGCCGAAGAAGAAGAAGAAGAGGACGAAGAGGGTGGGGAAGAAAATCCAATGGAGGAGGACAGTAGTTGGCAGAAAGAGTTCTTGAGGCACGACCTGTTCGCACGGACTTAAAGTTGTTCTTTTGGGTCGTGTACATCACAACCGGTATTGCTCTTCTTCACGTGAAGACCAGCAGCACTGGTGTGTATTAAGAAATTGGCGAAATATTATTTGCGACCCACATGACAGAGAAATATCTTTTGGCCGAGTTGTGGGTCGTCATCAAGAAAAAGGTTGTAAAATGTCTTTTGAAGGGAGGCAAGCTAATGCCCATGAAGATGCCCATCGAGAATAGAAAGTTGTTGGCATTGAACAAGATTGGTTGCAAGGTAAATAATTTCGTCCAAATCTCTATATCCCTCAAATCATAAAGTTGCAGACCTGCAAGTTTTCTCGGCTCCGCTTATTTAAGTCAAACACCTTCATTGCGTTTTTCACGCCACCTGCAGTTATAGGCATATAATTTCCAAAGTATGCCTTCTTTGTTTTCCACGCCACCAAAAGTTATATAGGCCTATAACATCGAAAGCTTACCTTCTTGGCTTTTTACGCCACCGGAAGTTTGAGGCCTACAACTTCCAAAGCTTACCTTTTGCACTTTTCGCGCTATTGGGCGTTATAGGCCTATAACTTCCAAAGTGTACCATCTTCATTTTCCACACCACCGGAAGTTGCAGGCCAACAACTTCTGAAGCTTACCTTCTTCACTTTTCGTGCTGTTGGGCGTTATGGGCCTGTAACTTCCAAACTTTAGCTACTTCGTTTTCTTTTGAACTTGTTTAGGTACTGTTGCTCTGCGTGTATGTTTCATTCTTGAAGAGTTATAGGCCTATAACTTTTTCTAACACACTTCGTCACCTTTGCTTTTATTGCCTCCAATGTGCTGCGTAGCCGTTCGTGGAAGGACTTTCTGAGTTTTTGCTGCAAATTTGGACGAGAAACTTCTTCCTTTTAGGTGTGCAGAGCAATAAGAGAAATCAAAACTCCGACGACGACGACGACCAGGACGACCACGAGGGGTGGATCGAAACCAAGGTCACAGCGCTGCAAATATGTGATTTCTCCTCAAACCATTGTCGAGTCTTCTGGTGGTTTGGAAAGGGGATCGGGCACAAAGAAGATTCCTAAGGGGAAAACAGTGACATCGGGCCCGCCTCGTACGGAAGGAACAACCAAGGGGAAGACGAGGGAAGAGGAGTTCCAGGTACCCCAAGGTTTTATGCCAAGCGAGCGCACGGAGGATTTGACAAAGACTTGGGAGGAGTTGAAGAGTTTGAAGGAGAAGAAACTCTCGTACGAGTCTTTCTACCTTCCAATAAGCTGTTTGAAGAGGCCGCCCCTGGTGAATGGGAAAAGATCGTTGGAGGTGAGAAAGTCGGACGAGGATCATGTGCAATTCATCCTGGACTCCATGCTAAAACACCCAACAGGAGATCATCTTCCCTTCGTCGGCCTCATCGACCTTGCCCAAGCCAGGCGCAAAGAAGACGCAAATTTGGCAAAGTTGAGAGCGGGCGAGTACGACATTTTTGTGCTTGGTGGCAACCACAGTCGGGAGGCTAGGGAACGGTTAGCACGCATGAACCCCGACAACGAGGACTATAGGTACAATGTCTGCTACGTTTACGTTGGCCTCACGGTTGACGAGGCAAGGCAGGTTGCCCACATGCACAACCTTGCCGAGGGCTACCACCGGGACTACAGCTTCATCGAGAAGCTCAGGTGATGGCGCCAAGTCTTTGAATGCATGGGGTGCGTCAAGTCGCAAGACGTAAAACTCGCTTGCCTGAAAGAAGCGATGATTCCGAACGCGGCCAAGAAATTGGGGGCCCAAGACCCGTTGCTACAGTGTGCTTTCAAACCCAAAGAAATTTGGGAGCGTATGTGCAAGATCATGAACATGTGGCAGAAGTGAGGTCAAAGGCCAGAAACTGAAACCGGCAGCGAAGAGCATCGTGAAATCGGACCAGGATTTGGAATCGAGCGAGTCGGAGGGCGTGAAGAAAAACCAGCGCGGGAAGAGGCTCGAAAGGGCAGCCGCGAAGGAGCAAGAAATAACGCTTTTGTATCCCCGGGTGCAAATGCAGGGTAACAAAGTCCCCATGGTGGCCGACGACATGCGTGCGCAACACTGGATAGCCATGGGTAGTATGGCTCCTGAGCACGCCGTCCCTATCCTCCTTGAGGTCATTGTGAAGCAGATAACGCTCAAGGAGATGGAGAAGAAGTTCCAGATTCTCAAGCAAGTCGCCTATGTCTGTAAGGCATTCGCAGTGGGGGTAGGTGTTGCTGATTTCAAAGAGGCCGAGATATAGTTTCCTCTCCACACGAAGGAAAAGTTCGCCGGGGGCGTCAAGAGGGGTCAGACGAGTATCCCCGCACTGGATGGCCATATTAAACAGTCTTTGGAATGAAAGAACAAGGAGAGGAGACTGAAAGCGAAGAAGGTTCTTCATGCGTTCCGTTCAAAACCTCTCATGGAACCATTCGTCGACTGGACGGAAGTGACACAGGAGAACAACTCGGCGGAAGTTAAGATTATCAACGGCGACATGCGGTTTCTATCGAAGATGCAGACAAAGAAGTTGTCGATATCTCTGGCGATTTTCGACTTCCCTTACGGCTTCGCACACGAGGGACATGCATCTGATAACGAGCCGTTTCCGGAGTCCGACATCGTGGAGGTTCTTCACAATCTGAAGGACGTTTCCAGTGCCCCCCTGTGGACAGTTGCGGGATTCTGCTCGGTGGACATGCTTCCTTCCGTTCGCTCCGCGTTGTGGGAAGTTTGCAATGCAGGGCAGGAGTTTTTGACGTGGTGCAAACCTAACGTAACGAATCCCGGTGGGCCCCGACTTGTGAGTGCCACGAAATTCTTCGTGCTGGATTATTACAGCGAGACTGGGCAGCGCGAGATGGCGCACTATAATTTCGATCCCACGGATCCGCGTCATAATTTCCAGCTCTTTAATGCCGTGACGCAAAAGTATCAGCACCCTGGTGGCGGTGTCCTCTGCCCGTACCTGAAGCCCGACGCTTTGTACTCATGGCTTGTGAACAAATTTTCTCCCGTCGGGGCGTGCATTCTCAACGGTTTCTCCGGTTCCGGTACTAGCGCAATTGCATGCGTCAAGGCGAATCAAAATTGTCTCGTGGTGGAGATCAACACCAAGTGCGCCAAGGGCATCGCGACGAGACTTTTGACAGACAAAGAGGAAGCAAAAGGTATTGCAAGACAGCCCAGCCTCTAAGTTGTCTGGGAAGGCGAAGTCTGTCAAAAATGACCTCATGGACACGGGCACTGCTGCCAGAGTGACGCCGATTGCCGGGTCGGGCGCACCTATTGGGTTTCATGGGGCTGCCTTCGGAGACACTGAATTGTCAACCCCAGTCACTGGCGGGCCGTCAGGTGCGAATTTGTCCACTGCTGAGGCGGTTGCCGGCCTGGCCGGCGTGCAGGAAACTGCTTCCGAGCCGTCTGCTGAGCCTGCTGGGCCCGTTGCTTCTGGTGTGCCTCTTCCAGGCAAGGCTAGACCCATGCCTGCTTCTGTGCCTGTTCCCAAGGTTGTTCCCGACGCTGGACCAGAGGCTAGACCCGTGCCTGCTTCTGTGACGGAACCTGCGGTCGAGGCCGTTCTCGCTTCTGCAAATGCTCAGCAGAGTGTCTTGAGCCTTGCAATGAGCCAAGAATCGAGCAGAACCATGGTTGGCGGCAGGAAGGGCGCAAACGAAAGGCAGGCAGTGAAGAGGTATCGAGTCCACAGGGGGGGGTGACGATTGCCCTCAAGGCCAACACTCACTCACAGACTGCGAAGTGATAGAGTTTGCAGCATATCCTTTGGATGTAGGCCTGTATGTCATGTGTGGACACGCACCTGGGATATAGGCCTATATTACATTTGTAGCCTCGAACCTTTGTCAGTTTTGTGTTCTGTGAACACGCCCGTTTTTATCGCATCTTCTCCTTCCGCTTGTTCTTGACACCGTCTGTGCTGCAGACCACGGATCGCCCGCGATGATGACAAAAGGTTCAGGAGCTGCCGTTTGTTGATGTCGAATAATGATTTGCTTGTTCCGGTCAGAGAACCGAAGAAGGATCGACAACGATCCATATCTCAAGGATTGCGCCTCTCGCCAGTGGTGCGAGAAGAGAAACCAAGCTTTATTCGTCGGCGAGTCTCCTATTATCATTGAATGATGACTTGCTTGGTACATTCCGGTCAAAGAGTCGAAGAAGGATCTACAACGATCCATGTAGCAAGGATAGAGCCTCTCGCGATAGGTGCAACAAGAGAAACCAAGCTTTATTCGTAGACGGGTCTCCTGTTCTCATTGCATGGCCAAAATGAAGATTCTTGCGGTTCGTGCTTCTTTGCCTGCATTCCTCTCCCGGGATTGGTCGTCATCCCTGTGTCGTTGGAGCTTTGTGGTTTGGCACATGGCTTTGGCTTTTTGTAAAACTGTTAATGTGTAGAGTAGGCTAGCTCTTTAGGTTTTAGGTCGCGGAAGTGGGAACCGGGCGCACTCGGTTCGTGGTTCATACCGCAGTAGGTCAACAGTTTTTAGAGTGTCATCGTTTCTAGGAACCATGTGTTCCGTTGCGGGTTGTACATTATAGACATTTAGTGGAGCAACTTGATGGAGTATTTATGGTTTAGTTCTTCTGACGGACTTTTTTTTCATTTTTTTTTCCTAAAGGCTAATTTTGACAACCCTCTCATTTCTGTTAGTAAATAACTTGTTGTTAAATTACCTTTGGGTAGAAGGTGTCTTGGGCTAACAAAACAGTGTTATAG